GCCTATATCGATGCCGCAGGTCAAATGGCACATGCTGACCCAGTCTTCGTATATGTCCCGTTCACGACTACCGATCTCTTGAATTGGAAGACCCACAATTCCTCGTACACTGAGAAACCACAAGCTATGACCGATCTGTTCACCTCGATAGTTCAGACACATAACCCGACATGGGCTGATTGCCAGCAGTTATTAATGACATTGTTCAATAATGAGGAAAGGACAAGGATTAACCAAGCGGCCATTAAGGCGCTAGAGGAGAGAGCCCGTGCTTTAAATCAAGCCAATCCGGCAGCATGGGCCGCAACACATTACCCTAACACCGATCCTGACTGGAATGTAAATGGCGCAGATATGGCTCAACTTAAAGCCTATAGAGATGCTATAATTGCTGGCATGAAAGCCGGAGGGAAGAAAGCTATTAACATGTCGAAGACAGTTGAGGTGATTCAGAAAAGTGATGAAGCGCCCAGTGTCTTTTATGACCGATTATTGGAGGCATACCGCTTGTATACCCCCTTTAATCCGGAAGACGCTGATAATTCCCGAATGGTAAACTCCGCCTTTGTCAGCCAAGCTTACGGAGATATTAAGCGCAAGCTACAGAAATTAGAAGGGTTTGCAGGTATGTCTATCACCCAACTAATGGAGGTAGCGAACAAAGTATATATGAATAGGGAAACAGAAAGTAAGAAAGAGGAAGAGCGCAAGATGCGTAGAAAGGCAGATATGCTAGCGGTAGCGATCGCAGGCGTAGATAGACGGGGCCCAGATAGAGGCGATGGTAGATGGAATAGGGAGCCTTTGAGTAGGAATCAGTGCGCGTACTGTAAGGAAGAAGGGCATTGGAGGAACGAGTGTCCGCAAAGAGAGCAGTATGAGAGAGACTTACCCAGGGCAGGTTACGGAAACTTTAGAGGCAGAGCGAGAGGTAGAGGAGGCCCCGGAGGGAGTAATGGTAATAGAGGGAGTAATGGGAACAGAGGAAGTGTAAGGGAAGATAGGTACTATCCAGCAGCGCAAAGGTCCCGCGATAGAGAAGGTAGGGACTTTGTGGGATTGGCTGACACGGTCATGGAGGACTATTGATACCGACCGGGCTCCATCCCCCTTGGTCGAGCGGAGCCTATGGTCGATGTATCAATAGGGGGAAAAAGGAGTGCGTTCATGATCGACACTGGTGCTGAACATTCGGTGGTGACTAATCTAGTTGCTCCTCCATCTGGAAGAACTATTACTGTAATAGGAGCAACTGGAAGAAGTGCTGAAAAAACGGTTCTTAAAAGTCGACTCTGTACATTGGGAGGCCACGTAGTAAAACATCAATTCCTTTATATGCCTGAGTGTCCAGTCCAATTGCTGGGACGTGATATGCTATCCAAATTACAAGCGCAGATTACGTTCCTACCAAATGGAACAACATCCTTAAAGTTTAATGGACCTTCAGGTATTATGACATTGTCCGTACCAAAGGAAGAAGAGTGGCGACTTTATACAGTGTTGACTAGCCAAAACCCGAGGAGTGATGAATCCTTATTTAACATACCAGGAGTTTGGGCAGAGAACAACCCACCAGGACTGGCCCGCAATATTCCACCTATTAAAATCGAACTAAAACTTGGGGTTTATCCAGTAAGCCTGAGACAATATCATATTCCGCAGAAGGCTAAGAAGAACATCCAATCTTATCTGGATAAGTTCATACGGTATGGTATCCTAAAATTCTGTACTTCCCCCTGGAACACCCCATTGCTGCCTGTTCAAAAGCCCGGTACAGATGAGTATCGACCTGTGCAGGACTTGAGAGCAGTCAATGATGCGGTTGTTAGTATACATCCAGTCGTGCCCAATCCATATAACCTGCTTGCTTTAATTCCGGGCGGGGCTACTTACTTTACAGTCTTAGATCTCAAAGATGCCTTCTTTTGCCTCCGAATTGCCGCAGAAAGCCAATGTATCTTCGCTTTCCAATGGGAAAATGCTGTAACGGGCTCGAAACGCCAAATGACCTGGACAAGATTGCCCCAGGGGTTTAAAAATTCACCTACCCTATTTGGTTCAGCTCTAAGTCAAGATCTACTAGATTTCGAGTCTATCCCAGGAGAGTGTGTATTATTACAATATGTAGATGACTTGTTGATAGCAGCAGTTACAAAGGAAGTATGTCAGCAAGCAACGCACGATCTACTACACATTCTCTGGAAGGCAGGATACAAGGTGTCTAGAAGGAAGGCTCAGTTGTGTTTGCCAACTGTCAAATATCTGGGATTCCATATCTCTGAAGGTCAAAGAATTATGGGGCCAGAGAGAAAAGAAGCTGTGTGCCAAATACCGATACCCAGGAATAGAAGACAAGTGCGAGAATTCTTGGGGGCAGCAGGCTTCTGTAGGATATGGATTCCCAGCTACGCGATACTGGCAAAACCTCTGTATGCAGCTATCAAAGGTACAGAGCACGACCCCTTCTTATGGACTCAAGAACAGCAAACGGCATTCGAAGATGTGAAGAGGGCTTTGATGAGTGCCCCAGCATTAGGTCTACCTGACCACACACGGCCATTCTACCTGTATGTACATGAGCAAAGAAGAATGGCTGTGGGAGTATTGACACAGTACTTGGGATCATGGCAAAGACCTGTTGCCTACATGTCTAAGCAACTGGATGCAGTGGCCAGCGGACTTCCACCTTGTCTAAGAGCTGTAGCTGCAGCCGCCCTGCTAGTAGCTGAAGCCGATAAACTCACTCTGGGTCAAGAACTTTATGTACGAGTTCCACATGCAGTACAGACGTTGTTGGATTACAAAGGAAATCATTGGTTTAGTAACAGCCGTATGACCAAGTATCAAGCAATGTTGTGTGAAAACCCAAGAGTGCATTTAGAGACTGTAAATACCTTAAATCCAGCTACCCTTTTGCCACAACCTACTGAAAGTCAACATGATTGTTTGGAAGTAATGGATGAAGTATTTTCAAGTAGACCAGATCTTCGTGATTTTCCCATCCAGAACCCTGATGTTCAATATTACACCGACGGCAGTAGTTATGTAAAAGAAGGGATCCGCTATGCAGGATATGCAGTAACAACGATAGACAAGGTGATAGAAGCTCGGCCACTGGCAAAAGGAACATCAGCACAAAAGGCAGAATTGATAGCACTGACACGAGCGTTACAATTGGCTGAAGGTTTAAGAGTGAACATCTACACGGACTCCAAGTATGCGTTTTTAACCACTCATGCCCACGGAGCTTTGTATAAAGAAAGAGGACTATTGAATTCAGAAGGCAAAGAAATCAAATACGCAGCTGAGATCCTACAACTATTGGAAGCAGTGTGGGAGCCGAAAGAAGTCGGTATTATACATTGTCGGGCGCATCTGAGAGGAGATGGTGATGTAACCAAAGGGAATCGGATGGCAGATAGTGCAGCTAAGCGTGCTGCTGAATCAGGAAGACAGGAATATGTGGGGCATATAGCTGCTCTTATACCAACTCCACTGTCTCAATGGACTCCAATTTATACAGCTCAAGAAGAGGAGTGGTTAAGGACTGAACCTGGAAAGTATTTGGAGAACAAATGGTATCAGTTAGAAGATGGAAGAATAGTTATTCCAGCATCACTAGCGGTAGAAATTGTCCAAAACTATCATAACGGGACACATTCTGGGAGAGACAGTACAGAAGAATCTCTCAGAAAACATTTCTACATACCAAGATTGTCCAACTTGACTCAGGCCATTGTACGTAGATGTGTAACGTGTGCTAAAAATAATGCAAGACAAGGACCAGTAAAGCCACCAGGAGTCCAGTTTATGGGGGGACTTCCCATGTCCGATTTACAAATTGACTATACAGTGATGCCTAAATCGGGTGGACATCGCTACCTGCTGGTAGTGGTGTGCACCTATTCAGGCTGGGTAGAAGCATGTCCTACTCGTACAGAGAAAGCAGGAGAAGTCGTGAGATTCCTGCTACGAGAAATAATACCCCGATATGGACTACCCTGCTCTATAGGATCGGACAATGGTCCAGCTTTTGTTCATCAGTGCCTACAACAACTGACTCATATGCTTGGTATAAAGTGGAGGCTTCATACGGCATATAGACCCCAGAGTTCTGGTAAGGTAGAGAGAATGAATAGAACTATTAAGAATCAGTTGGCTAAAATGTGTCAGGAAACCCAACTTAAGTGGAACGTTCTCTTGCCCATAGCTCTATTGCGAATCCGTAGTACACCTACCAGAAGGATGGGCCTCTCTCCTTTTGAAATCATGTACGGGCGACCACCTCCCGTGCTTGGTAACTTAAGGGGGGATTTGAGTCAGTTGGGAGAAGGAATTACCCGGCAGCAGGTTGTAGAGTTGGGTAAGACTATGGAGGAGGTACAGAAATGGGTACAAGATAGATTACCTGTGAATATTTATCCCCCAATTCATAGTTACCACCCAGGCGACCAAGTGTGGATTAAAGAGTGGAATAATGTGCCGTTAGGGCCCAAGTGGAGAGGTCCTTATGTTGTTCTTCTGTCTACCCCTACAGCGATAAAAGTAGCCGAAGTGGCTCCGTGGATACATCACTCCAGGGTTAAACCAGCAGCAGCCGATTCCTGGCAAGTTACAGCAAATCCAGAGAATCCCTGCAAGATCCGGTTAAAACGCACGACTCAGTCGGAGTGACGAGGAACCTTGTAGATTACAAATTTTATTGTTTCAGAGACTTGGTAAGTGAGTGAGAAGGCCATAATAAAGCCTGTCCACTCACCAACGAGTGTATAAGTCAGGGAAAGTCTTGAGGGGACCCCTGTGAAGACGAGCAGAACTCCATTCCCTGCAGCCCTTACATCCTGGAAGCTGAGGTGCCTTCGCACGGACGAAGACTGAGGATGACGACGAAAGATGTATTTTTAATAATGTTTATTTATGTGTATTTTTATATTCAGGAAGGTAGAGGTACCGACACTCCTAGCTGTGAGGTATGCATTAAGACTACAAGAACAGGTAACCATATATCCCAGACCCTAATTTGGCATTCGCAATATGAGTGTAAAGGAGATGTATCAAGATGTAGATACTTAAATATAGAATATAGTGTGTGTCATTTAGGAGTAGGAGAACCTAAGTGCTTCAGTCCTGAGTATCAACCCCGTACAATTTGGTTGACTCTCAGAAATGGAGATCCTCAGGGGACCCTAATTAATAAGACGGTATTAGAATCCGTATATTCTTCAGGTGCTCTGCTATTTGATGCGTGTAAAGCAATATCAAGTGGTAGAAAGCCGTGGAATGTATGTGGGGATCTTAGATGGGAGAGGACGTATGGGTCTAACGATAAATATATTTGTCCCAGTAGTAAAAATAAATATGTAAGTCCAAGATGCCCAAATAGAGATTATAACTTCTGCCCATATTGGTCTTGTGTGGGGTGGGCGACTTGGGGACAGACAGCAGACAAGGACATGATTGTGACTAAGTTGCCTACTGATCCATATTGTAAGTCTATGGAATGCAATCCAATCCATATACTTATAAATAACCCTGACAAGTTCTTAGATAAATATGGTAATTTATTTGGGTTTCAAATATATGGGACGGGTTTAGACCCTGGGACAATATTGTTTATAGGGATAGAGACTGATACGGTAACCTCCCAAACTCATCAAGTATACCATTCCTTTTATGAAGAGATGAGCATAGATAATAAGATCCCCCATAATGCTAAAAACTTGTTCATTGATTTAGCCGAGAGTATTGCCGGTAGTCTTAATGTTACCAACTGCTATGTGTGTGGAGGTACTAACATGGGAGACCAATGGCCTTGGGAAGCAAAGGAGGTAATGTCCGGTTCTGAGGCAGTTGACCAATTAATATCTACACAAGCCGACTATCATATGAGTGTTAGAGGTAAATCTGAGTGGAGATTGAAGACCTCCATCATAGGTTATGTTTGCATAGCGAGGAAAGGAATGATGTATAATACTTCTGTAGGAGAATTAACTTGTCTAGGGCAAAAAGCTTATGATGATGATACAAAGAATACAACTTGGTGGTCGGCTTCAAATGTCTCAGAACCATCTAACCCGTTTGCAAGATATGCCAATTTAAAGGACGTATGGTTTGATCTATCCATCACATCTAACTGGAGAGCCCCAGCGAATTTGTACTGGATCTGTGGTAAGAAGGCCTATTCGGAGTTACCACAGGACTGGGAAGGGGCATGTGTGTTGGGTATGTTGAAACCATCCTTCTTCTTGTTGCCTATTGAAACAGGTGAGACTTTAGGTGTTAAAGTGTATGATGTGAATCATAGGAAGAAAAGGGGACCCATAGAGATAGGTGCCTGGGAAGATAATGAATGGCCTCCCCAGCGTATTATAGATTATTATGGGCCAGCCACGTGGGCAGAGGATGGTACCTTTGGTTATAGAACCCCTATTTATATGCTCAACCGCATTATAAGGTTACAGGCGGTGGTTGAGATCATTACTAACGAGACATCACAAGCGCTCAATCTTCTAGCGAAGCATAATACCAGGATGAGGACAGCAGTTTACCAAAATAGATTAGCCTTGGATTATCTTTTGGCAGTAGAGGGAGGTGTATGTGGGAAGTTTAACCTGAGCAATTGCTGTCTTCAAATAGATGACGAAGGGCAAGCAATAGCTGAGCTTACTAGCCATATGGTTAAACTAGCGCATGTGCCTACTCAGGTATGGAAAGGGTACAATCCAAGTAGTTGGTTTGGTAGCTGGTATGAGTGGTTTGGAGGGCTTAAGGCAGTGGTAGGTGGAGTCCTACTGATTTTAATGTTGTGTCTACTCCTGCCGTGTCTTATACCCTTAGTAGTTAGGTCTGTGCAAAGCCTGATAGAAAATATAGCAGAGAGGAAGGCTGCTGCACAGATAATGGCAATTTATAAATATAAGGCTCTAGATCAGGGAGAACCAATGCAGGAAGACGAGTGTTGAAGATTCACATCATAGGATAAGTCTGGTCTGGTTCAAAGGTAACTTGTGGTGTATGCAAACCAAGGTTAAGTGATGCCTCAAGTAATTGTAAAATATCAAGAGGCATCAAAGGGGGGAATGTGGTGGAATCTCGGTAAAAATAAATTTAGTAGGCCGAGATTACCACGTGGCATGTGTACGTGCATATGCTGACGTATCGATCAGTTGGTTGCACGAGGCAAGATACGATCAGTAGTGTACGGAGCATGTGCAAGAATACAGGATGTAGTATTCCCCTCCTCCATTGTGCTGGACAAGCCATGCGGTCAAGCAGGAAGTTAATTCTTATTTGTAATGATTGGTCAAGAGAATGTGCGGGTGGAGCTTAATATGGGAGGAGTTATGTGCCTATATAGGGAGCCTGCACTATTGTTCAGGGCTCAGAACTTGCTGTATTTTTGGTGACATTAGTCCCTCTGAGTCCCGATCGGTGATCCAATAAAGAATCTCTTCCTTCCTGAAGAAACCTGTGTCCATCTCTCTGTGCTTTGCTTCCGTCAGTTTCTCCGGTATCACTATAGACGTCTCTTGTCAAATTAAAAAAACTGTGTTATGTGGACTTATAACTGAACTTCAAACTTGTCACAAACAAATATATGACTCTTTTCTTTCTCAATTACCTGATTGTGAGAAATGGTTGAGAGACTCCTGTGATAAGTAGAGTTTATGAGCTTCTCCGTGTGTCTCTTAAAGAAACATCACGTAAAAAATCCTTGTCATATTTGCAGAAGCAGTTAAGAGTAATGTACAATAGTCACACTGCCTTGTTACCTTAAATTCATTTTCTTATTGATGTAATACAGGAAAGGATGAGTGTCTTTATGCCTGATAATGATGTTTATATACCCTTTCCTGATTTGCACAGCATCCCTCCTGACTCTGACTTGTGTTTCTCTGGTTCAGGGGCCTGGCTTATCTATCCTCCAGACTGCAAAACTGAAGTTGCTGCCCAAACTGAAGAAGACGATATTGAGGGGTTATATAGCACTGGTGATCCCCTCATGGACCATGTCTTTGATGAACTGGGTGCTCGTTGTATAGCAGCTTTGGAGGACGAGCAGTCTGAATTCAAAGGAAGTACCAATGCTCAGTTTCCTAATATTGTCTCAGTACCAGAAACCCATTATGCTCTTGCACCACTGTCTCTTTTTTGCAAAATCCACTCACCTATTCCCAGGGTGTGGATACCGACTTCCAGAATCAGCGCTCTAGCTACCGTTCAGGAGGGTACATGTCAGGTCAGAGAGTGTCTCAAGCCAAGTCTGCCCATCAGCGAAGCAGAAGCAGACTCACCTGAGACAACAACCAAAGATACTAATCCTTCCCTCACAGTACCAATTGAGGGAACCACCAGTAGCCTTGACCAGGCGACTGGATCTGATCTGGAGCTCTGTCCCGCAAAGGACAATGCAGTTCACGCTCTAATACTGTATCTAAAGAATCAGAGGTTCCAAGTTCTCCATCTCTTATCAAGTCATCCTACAAACCATGGTTAAGAGATATTCCGAAAGGACAACTTACGATGCTTAAAGGACCACTCTAGGCACCCAGACCACTTCAGCTTAATGAAGTGGTCTGGGTGCCAGGTCCTTCTAGGGTTAACCCATTTTTTCATAATTATAGCAGTTTCAGAGAAACTGCTATAATTATGAATGGGTTAAGCCTTCCCCCTAATCCTCTAGTGGCTGTCTCATTGACAGCCACTAGAGGCGCTAAATGCTTCTCACTGTGAAAATCACAGTGAGAGCATCAGCGTCCTAGGAAAGCATTGTAAATGCTTTCCTAGAGACCCGGCTGAATCGGCGCAGCTCTTGCTGGCGTGCGCATTCAGCCGGCGAGGGAAGATAGGCGGAGAGCTCTCCAGCGCTGGAAAAAGGTAAGTTATTACCCCTTTCCCCTTTCCAGAGCCGGGCGGGAGGGGGTCCCTGAGGGTGGGGGCACCCTCAGGGCACTATAGTGCCAGGAAAATGAGTATGTTTTCCTGGCACTATAGTGGTCCTTTAAAAGGAATTGTTCAGAAAATCAAAACATAAAAACCAAGCCAAAAAAATGTTTGCTGATTTTTGTAAAGAAAGAACGTGAAATTCAAGTCAGTAAAATTCCAACACACTCAATAAGAGCATTTCATAAAGATTTTATCTGTATGAAATATTCTTTTTTGGGGGGGGGATTTGAGTTGATAGTGACATTGCAAAGTGAGCATGATACTGCTCTACCACCCTGCAGGCGCTATGCACTACACCTGTAGATGCTGAGAGTCATTTTATAGGAACCACCAGCCCTGGCTGACAGCTGGGTATCTGCACTACTGGATGCCATGAGCATGCCTTAGTTACGCTGTTTCCTTCTATTCATAAAGCTGCAGATGATTAAAGCACAATAAGCCCTTTGCCTGGAATTCTCATTCTTCCTGGAAATCCGAGCTCTGTATCCACCAATCAGATGGCTCCGACCCTCCCCGGACTCCAATACATTAAATGTTAACAGTACGTGTTACAGCCAAGTCAGCGATCTGCCCGTTACAAAGATGGCGGCGGTGGCGAGATACCCACGTGACAAGTGGGGAAATGACGTAGTGTACACAGTAGTGAACCTGGCAAAATGTCGGCGTCCAGAGCTAAAGCGGAAAGTTTCCCTGGAGACGGGAGCAATGCGACTGATGATGAATATGAGGAGGAGGTAGATATTCCGTTATGGCACCTGATAGTGTGCTATGGTTAACATTGCCATGTTAGCTCTGTAATAGGGAATTACTGGACTTCCTGTACACATGGTCCATTTCTCCTGGAGATCACATGGTCAGATTGCTCTGTGTACTCCTCTCATTCCTGTTTACCCTTTTCTCCATGCCAACTAAAGAATTCTCATTACCATTAAATGGAATAAATCAACTTATAGAGACAGAGGGCACTCCAGGCTAGATTCAATTAATTATTTATAATGTCATTTTATAAGTAGAGGATTAACAGAAACATTGAATTTAAATAGGGGCATTTTAATGTGCTGCATTTTTCTGGAAAACGCTGGTATTTGCAGATTCTGCGGCACACTGTATTCAGAAAAGGGAGTTTTTGTTAAACTGCTTCAGAGCAACTTTAAAAAAATCGGCAAACAAATAGTATTATTTATGTTTTTTTGTTTTTTTTTCACTAGGTGTTTTTACACGTGTTTTGTAATTTGGTGTGCGTGTGTAAATTTACTAAATCTGGAACTCATCATTTTAAAGGAACATTTTCATGCTACGGAATCTGATGGCGCTATATAAATAATAATAAAATAATAATAAATGTTAGGAATACAGCTTTGTATTCCGAACACTAATTGTTCCTCCATCCCCGTCCCGCACAGACTTAAAGGGTTAACTATCGCTAATTCACTCCGCTTACTCCAGTGCAGAGGTCCCTTGCCGTTTGCATCTTCTTCGCCTCTTATGTCAGGAGCATTGAGTCAGTGCTTTTCCTATGGGGGATTTTGAGATGCTGCATGTCCTCATTCAGAGCGGGAGGACGTCCAGAGTTAAACAATTTGGAACAGCAGAAAGCGCCTCTATTGGCTGCCTGGTTGACAGCCACTAGAGGCAGTCTTGGCCCTCTAATTTCTCTAAAACTGCAATGTTATTAGCTGCGGGCTAAAGGGACAGGGATACTGCATCCACACAAAGTGGCCTGGGTGCCTATAGTGTCCCTTTAAGTATTGTTTTACATTATGTCATGAAAAAGTGAAAGACAGGCAAAATTTGAATCACAGTTTTTCACAGAAAATGAAAGGTCAGAATTTAACAAAGGTAGACCAATTTTTTTTTTTTTTTATCAAATAGGAAAATTGTTTATTAAATTGGCACTGTCACGCCATACTTACCTTTTCCTAATCTCTTCCTCTTTCCTACTCCCTTTTTATTTTATTTTTATTTTTCATCTAACTAAAAACATAAGACAATGTAGGGTATTTCTCCCAGAATACTTCCCTTTCCAAGCTGACTTTCCTCCGAGGTGTGAAGTTGGCATGTACAGGAATTTGACCGTGGGGAGTAAGTGTGGGCAGATGAAGGCAATACGGTAATCAGCATTTCCAGGAACGCTAATATGGCTGTGCTGGAAAAAAAGATCCAGACAAGACATGAGGCAGTAAAAAAAAGATGAAATGGGGGACTTAGCGGCATTTTGATGTGGTTGGGGACACAATAATGTGTAGAGGAGTGAGGAGAGGCGTAAAAACAAAAAAAAGATACAGCCATGACAGTAGAGCTATACTGAGACAAAAAAAAATGATGGGAGGATTCTTTTTTAGGTACTATATAAGGAAGGTTTAATTTCATATGGGTTAAGAATGGAAAAGACCCCAGCTAATGAGATTGAAAATTTAACTTTTATGAAACAATGGCATACACCTTGGAAACATGCTCCATTACACTTATGATTATTATTGTGGCTTTTGAAAGAGAAAATAAAAATCTGGCAGGATTGTCAGCCACAGCCTATTAGCACCATAACTACTCCAGCAAGAAGTAGTGATTATGATGTGTAATGCCTCTTTATTGAGTATCTTAATGTTTTTAAAATTTTCCCCCATGTTATTTTAGGAACAACTTGTTTTGGTGGAATTGACAGGAATAATTGATTCAGATATATTGGAAAAATGTGGCAACAAATGCAAAATTCTGGTGAGTAATTCATATTTCATAGATACATAGGCCAAAAAAGCCTGACTGCTACTTCTGCTGATGATCCAAAATAATGCAAAAATCCCAGTTTTAACTGCTTGCCAATCTTGGCTTATGGTGCAGCATTCTGCAAAAAAAATATTTATTTTTCTGTGCAAAAACTATAAAGAATACAGCACATTAAAGGGACACTGTAGGCACCCAGACCACTTCAGCTCATTGAAGTTGTCTGGGATCTGTGAACCTTTTGCACTTAGTGCTGCAATGTAAAACATGGCAGTTCCAGAGAAACTGCAATGTTTACATTGCAGCTCTAAGTCTGCCCCCAGTAGCTGTGTGCCAGACAGCCACTGGGAGCGATTCTGGAATCCTAACAGACTTTTGGTTCGTTATCTGACCCTCGACGTCCTCATGGACCTCCAGTGTCAGATTTTCCCCAAATGAAAGCATTGAATAATGCTTTCCTATGAGGAGTTCTAATGCGCGCGCGGCCATTGCCGCTCATGCGCATTAGGTCTCCCGTGCCAGTTGATGGAGGGGGAGGAGCATGGGCGGAGCTTGACCCAGCACCGAGGGACATCGGCGCTGGATTCAGGTAAGTGCTTCAGCCCCAAGGGAGGGAGCGACGATGTCCCACATCGCTGCTTCTTCCTCCGCCGCTGCCGCTCCTCCTAGTGATGCCGCGCATGCGCATTAGCGCTCCCCATAGGAAAGCATTGAAAATGCATTTCAATGCTTTCCTATGGGGAAATGAGTGTCGCTGGAGGTCCTCACACAGCGTGAAGACATCCAGCAACGCTCTAGCACAGGTTTCCTGTGCTAGGGACACGGAAGTGCCCTCTAGTGGCTGTCTACAAGACAAGACAGCCATTAGAGGTGGAGTTAACCCTGCAAGGTAATTATATTTAAAAAAAAAAAAAAAAACTGAAATAATTACAGTTGCAGGGTTAAGAGTAGTGGGAGTTGGCACCCAGACCACTCCAATGGGCAGAAGTGGTCTGGGTGCCTGGAGTGTCCCTTTAAACCAGTTAAGGACTGTGCCTCTTAGACCACATGTGTTATGCAAGTAATTTACAACTTTTAAACTATTTTTTCTCAAGATGTGCATTATATGCATATTTACCATTTTAATTTACATTTTTATTCCTTTTTGTATTTTTGTTTCCATGTTCTGTAATGAGTCCTTTAATATTGTATTATTATTTTTTTATTTTTTTTATGTGCAGGGTATTAACACAGAAAATCCGTTCCTCCAATTGGATAAGTACGTGTTTGCTGGCGAGTATGAAGGTAGTAAGACATTCCATGTACCACAAGTTCCTGAATTGATACATGAATATATTTGCACCAGCATTTTCCATAAATAACAGAAAGTACAGGAAATCTATAGTTTGTAATTGTTTGCAATGTCTGACAGTGCCATGGTATGATATCGCCCCCTTGTGTCCACATTTAAACTAATGAAATATGTACTGTCTAGGGAAATTTGTTTGCAGGGCTTCTGGAGCGATTTTCACACAAATCTTACTGCAGTAGAAAGATTGTGTTGAAAATAGTAGGAATCCACTGTGCTCAGTGCAATTCAGTTCATATCATAGTGAAAAAAATGAACCTTTATGGAATTTTATCAGCCAAAGTCAGATAATCTAGCCAAGTTAAAGTAAATGGACTTCTGTGGTCTTATAACTGTGCAGTGACCCAGTAGGTCCATGTTGCTCTCCCATACACTGAAATATGGCCTTTGTTAAATTTAAAGACACATTAAAACTGAATACCAGGGACTGATTTTCAAAAACTGAATATCTTCTAGGCAACTAGTGTTTGAAATGTAATTGTTTCGCTGACTTTGTAACAAACATGCAGGCTGCCATACAGATTTTGACACAAGATTGGACTTATTAGACTTCATGAGTCTCTTGCCGTGTTCTGATCCTAGGCACTTGAAACGTAGGAGTTATGTCAAAATATCATCTGTCGCCAATCTTTGAAATACAATATATTTAAATCAGACTTTGATAGTCTTAGTACAACCTATATCCAGTATTTATTTGTTTAAAAACTGCTGTAGAAAAGAGGGGCCTCTGTGAACCTTGTTTATATATTTATATATGAAGGCTATAAGTATATCTGAATTTCTACATAATCTGCATGAGTAGAGCTCAGATAATGCATAGATTGCAATACATTCAGTGTTGTCAATTTAACAGGCCCAATTTTATGGCTGAACTTATAGGAAACTGTTTTAGAGTTCGGTTAAGAAATAAAATATATTCTTTGTATGAATGGAAATTGTACAAAGGCTAACTAATTAGAACATTATAGTTTTTGTTTATAAAGTCATAAGCAAGTTATCAGATGATCCTCTTCCATTTACCCCAGCTGCACGGCTCCTACACTACACCTCGCAGACAGTCGCCCTATAAAAGAACTTGGTAATTGTACATTTTAAAGGAACAATTTTTTTTTATTTTTTTTAAATGAATGGGAAGCTAGTGATTGGCTTAGTGTCTGCTGATCAGTCAATCAATGGCTGCGCTTCGCGCTTACTGAAACTCTGGTTCAGAAACTGGATGTCACTGGGGGAACCTAGGGATATGGTGCTGGAGGCAGCCTTAGGGGTTTAAATCGTTCTCGGTTTAACCCCTTAAGGTTATGTGAGCACCTGTGGGCCTCCTGGAACCATAACAACTTAATTCAGGTGATGTTGTTATGGTGACCAGAGTATTCCTTATAGATGCTAACACTACAATATTTTTTACTTGGCCTAGCGAGGTTTTTACATACTTGTCTTTGTGGATTACAATAGTGGAGGGAAATAGACCATTTTTATTTTATTTATAAAATATTTTACCAGGAAAATAAGCATACCCGCTGTTTCTGGCAGAAACAGAATGCTATACTAAGCAATAGTTTTATTGTTTGGATCGTATATCCTTCCCTGAGTTGTGTGAGTTGTGGGAATTACTTGTTTAATTCTATGACAGCCCAAGGAGCTAGAGTCATGACTTATTAGAATGCTCAGTCTTTGCATATACCACAGAAACTGTATTGATTGAGCAGCACATGCAATCAGTCTTCCACCTCGTGCTCCTGTATCTTTTCTCCAAATCTTCCCACTTTTTCTACTTTTTTTTCTTCAACTGTTTCCCCTCTTCCGATTTCTTTCTTTTCTTCCTTCCATGACTATATTAATTTGTGTTTTAGAGAATATGCCTACAGCTAGAGTCCAGAGGGCTGGAACATATTAAGACACCTAACCCTTGTTTATGACTCTCACAGCAAAGCCAATTATCTTATGTACAGAATATTCCGTCTGTTAATTGACCTTGTGATATGTGACTCATCTACTTAAATGCATGTTGAAGATGCTTTTGGTGATGTTTTGTGTATCACTTTTTTTTTTTTATATATATATTTTTCTATTGTTGCTTAACAATGCATGTCCTCTTCTGTTTGTTTCTTTATTTAAAGAGGATCTAAAACGAAAACATTGCTAGTTAGTTTTTAACATAAAGAGCATTTTTCATGAACGTTTGCATTGCTAGAAATTCAAAAATGTTTTTAAATTTTATAATAAATCTAAATTAAATTTGTAAATATATAAAGTTATTTATGATTAAACCTGTAAAAATTCACTGGCCAAATTAGAAAAGTGAGCTATAATACTTTTAGTAATGCTGAAGTGCTCTGTGTGAAGAGTGTGTGTGGTTTTTTTTGTTGTTGTTTTTTTTGTTTGTTTTTTGTAAATTAACCTTGTTACACCCCTGGCTGTCAATTGGTCCTGTTACTTCTTGGTTGCTTACTCGGCGGAGAGTGTCCCTTGAGATATTAAATTTACTTTGAATTCCTGATAAGTTTCATTTCCGCAAATAACCCTGCAAGCATAAAGCATGTATGAAAACAAGTGCTTTATATATGATGACAAATAATTTTGCTACCTTTATTTTCACATTTGCTACTCTTCTTACAGTGCAGATACCACGAAGAATAAAAAATGTTAGATAACTGTAGTGCAATAAAGTAAACCACATAAAAGCACAGTTTTGTGTCTAATATTCAAATTTGCCACAAAATAATTAGAAATGTTATTCAGTTATTTATATTGTTTCAGCTGACACACAGCAATGTATTTCTCATGGGAATCTTTAAACACAAGTGCAGACACTAATTGTGTCACTATTTCACCATTTTCCACGATGCACAGTAAGCTCTACCACATTGGACAATACAGCCCCAATTGCTTGTGTATGTGCGAAGAGAGAGGAACATGCCTACACATGTGGTAGAATTGCCCAAGGGTGACAGGGTTCTCTTGTGAGCTGCAGACACCAATGTTCACTGCTATTGCACAGTCTCGGCTTAAACCTGAGGTCCCACCGATGGCACAGGCTATTTCCAAAATAATAGACACGTCCCTCTTGAACAAGTTAACAGCCCAGTTTAGAAACCCTTTATCGACATTCCACATTGTTTAGGCTATATGGAAGAAAGTTGGTGAGCAATAGAGCAGAAAGATAAATTTACCTGTCCTCTGCCTCTCGATCCCCGGGACTTAGGGGACTTAGTTTTTGTTTTGTTTTATTTGTTCATAATTGTACATGTCAATCACACGGTAGTAAGCATCTCTAATTAAGGATCTTATCATTAAAATGTATTTTATACTTATGTAGTTTACATGCATTAGTTCATTACATTATAACAATTTTCTTGCTGCACAAAGGTATGATGGGATAGGAGGTGATTCTTTTTATGTTATTTAAAGGAACACTATAGTGTTAGGAATACAAAACTGTATTCTTGGCACTATAGTGTCCCTCTGCCATCTCCTCCCACCACCGCTGGCAAATAAAGGGTTAAAAAAACAACCAATTCCAGTGCCGAGGTCCTCAGTCAGCCGATGGACGGGACTCAATGCTTTTCTATGGGAGATTTGAAGACTATGTACAGCATGAGGATGTCCAGCATTGAAACTGCGGGAGGTGCCTCTAGTGGCTGTCTGGTAGAAAAACCACTAGAGATGGACTTAATCCTGCAATGTAAACATTGCAGTTTCACTGAAATTGCAATGTTTGCCGGTGCAGGGCTAAAATGACAGGGACAGTGCACCCAGATCACTTCTATGAGATGACGTTGTCTGGGTAACTATAGAAAAACATGAATATATATATATACACCACAGTATATGCTCAGGCAATTTTTGTTATACTCATCACATCTATGAAGGTACCTATGAATTCTTTAAATTAATATGAAGACATTTTATGTCTTCCATATACATTTTAATTTTGTTAAACCATGTTAACTATTTTTTATATAAAATGTAAAAATCTGCAGGCTTTAAGAGAATAATGTGCCGGCAATCAATTTTGCGATTATGCTTGCACTTTAAATAAAAAATTCTTAAACTATTGCACCACAAAAACATGTTTTATAGTGTCTAAAATGTAATAATGCACAGCCATACTTTTTGTGAATACCTATAATGTAAATGGTTTTTTTTTTCTTTGTTTTCCCCATCACTATTTTTCCAGATACTCTCGGTACTTGTGTGATCTTTGAAGAAGTTTTAGAACAGGGCAAGGCATGTTACAAAAAGGACAAAGGTAAAATGCAGCAATTTTCCTAGACTATTTTAAGATGCCATCTCACCAATGCAGTCTGTGATTAATAGCCCTAGAAACCCTCCAGTGCCAACAAAGAACTTTGTTTCTGGCAATCACCAACACATAATACCTCTGCTACTATTTGTTAAAACTGAGAAGTTTACTCTCTGAACATTAAATTGGAGTGGATGAAATGCTAATTGGAACCTTTTGGGCTACACTATGACAACAGCAGATTTGGGTGACTTTCCATATGCATAGTTACATAGGCTGAAAAGAGACGTGTGTCCATCAAGTACAGTCTTTCTCACAACAGTTTTTTTGCTGTTGATGTAAAAGAATTAAAAAAAAAAACCAAAAAAAACCCCAGTTTGAAGCACTTCCAATTTTGCAACACTTGGTAAAATTCCTTCTTGAACTCAGAATGACATTCAGATTTATCATGGGACCAAGAAGCTCTTACCACACAATTTAAAAAGTATATCCTTTAATATTAAGTTTTTGCAAGTATGCTTCAAGTTGCTGTTTAAACATCTGTACTGACTCTGATAATACCACTTTTTCAGGCAGAGAATTTCACATTTGTATTGTTCTTACTGCAAAAACAACTTTCCTTTGCCTTAGATTAAGTCTCTTTTCTTCCAGCCTAAATGCGTGACTTTGTGTCCTATGTAGCCCTGTTTTTGAATAGAAATCCAGATAATTGTTTGTATTGGCCTCAGATAGATCTGTATAATGTTATCATATCACCTTTGAGGCTCTGTTTTTCTAAACTAAAGAGGTTTAAATTTGTTTACCTTTCTTCATAGTTATGTTCCATTCCTTTTATTAATTTTGTAGCTTGTCTCTGCACTTTTTCTAGTTCCATTATACCCTTCTTTAGAACAGGTGCCCCAAATTGCACAGCATATTCAAGATGTTGTCTTACCAGTGATTTATAAAGAGGCAAAATTATATTTTCATCCCGAAAATGAATGCCCCTTTTCATGCATGACAATACCTTAGTGGCCTTAGCCACTGCTGATTGACATTGCCTAGTTTGTTGTCTATACAAATTCCCAAATCCCTGTTGTGTATTGTTCTCCCTAATCCACTACCATTTAGGGTATAAGTTGCTTTTGCATTCTTTACCCTGAAGTGCATAAATTTGCAATTTTCTACATTAAATTTTATCTGTCATTTGAGTACCCAGTCCACAAATCCATCTAAATATCTCTGCAGCCAAGCATTATCTTGCCCTCATTGTATCACTTTACAGAGTTTTGTATCATCCGCAAACACTGAAACTTAACTTTCAATGCTTATTTCAAGATCATTTCTAAGTATGTTAAATAGAAGCGGTCCAGAAGAGAACCCTGAGGGACACCAGTTACCGCTTTTGTCCAGCTTAAAAATTTAACATTAATGACCACTCTCTGTATTCTATTTTTAAGCCAATGTTCTACCCAAGAACATGAATTTTCATCTAGGCCAATTTATTTGTTTGAATACTAGCCTTTTGTGTGGAACCTGATCAAATGCCTTGACAATATCCAAGTAGATCAAATCCACTGCAACACACTGATCTATACTTCTACTTACTTCTTCGTCGAATGCAATTCATTTAATTTGACATGACCTATGTTTCGTAAAACAATGCTAGTTTTTGCTGATGGCAATGTTCTTATTAATGAATATTGTGACAAACACTCCTTCTCATGAACGTTTGCCACGAACTCCTGGAAGAGTGTGCAAGCTGGCCTCCTGCCCACAGACTATGGGCCAGATTGAAAACCCCATTTGGGAGTTACCCTGCCCAGCCACCATTAGCAGCTTTTCCTCCGTGCCCCCTGTTTCGGCACTTTCCCTTCATTCAAATGGAACCGAACGCTAGCTCCCAGGCAGCCGTTCGCATGAACCAAACCCATGAATGGTCCTCATTGGTATTTAGCCGTGACTGCAATAGAAATAATTTCGGTATGAGGACTTTGTGGTTCCCGGTAACCTCATCGGTATTTAGCCGCGAATCTTATGGAACTGTTTTTGCACAAGGTGACCTTGCATTTCCTGGACAACTTGGTCTGGGGTTTTGAACCACTTTGTGACCCACCAGGAGAGCGCTTTTTGGGGGGAAGGTGCCTGAGACTAAGGGGAACAAACGCTACCTCAGAGCCAGGCAGAGCAACCCATATTGCGGCCGCAGGAGCTTCCGGAAGTTGACCGGCCAATGCAACAAATGCCCTGGAACTATTTTGGGCATGGGACCACGTGTGCGGCCAGTCAGAACTTTGACACGGTGGCCTTTCTGCTACTCTGCATGGATCTGAGCACTATTTGGACCACTTGGGCGCTCCGTTACAAATATTATCCCTCAGTAACTTTCCCAGTCACAGAAGTTATGTTTACATGTCTATAATTTCCAAGCATGGATTTTGAACCCTTTTTTAATATAGGAACCACATCTGTCTTAATCAATCTTCCAGTACAATTACTGAAAGAAAAGAATCTTGAAATAATAAAAACAGAGCTTCACTTATTTATACACTTAGTTCCTTAAGTACTCATAGGTGAATACTGTCAGACCCTGGAGCTTTGTTTATAGTAACTTTTTTTTTGTTGCTGCAGCAACTAAATATACCAAGTTCCAAAGCCATTCCTGAACAAGAACTAGTAATACATTGCATCACTTTAACCCCTTCGTGACGGAGTCTGTATTTGATACAGAGCTGTCCTTCACAACGGGCTCCATACCACAAATGGACTAGATTTAAATGCCATTAATATTTTACTGTGATCATGACAGTATTGCTATTGCTGAATGCTTCACTAGTGGGGCATCACAGAAATAGCTGCAATAGAGGTCCCTCAAGAAAGGTGATCACCACGATTATCATGACTATCATCATCCGCTTCCCAAGGGACCTCCATTACAAATTGTACATACTGCAGTGTCAGTGATAAGGGCATGTAAATGCTATTACTAGACCGTCTCAGTCCTTAGGCTACCTAGTAAGACCTTCAAGAATCTGTCACAACGGTTCCTTATAGGATTGACAGCTGATCCTTGGCTGTTGCAGTACTTGCTGGTATCAGCTGTGAATTGCCTTCTGCTGGCCTTCCTCACAATTTTGACAGCCTAGCAGTCGTCACTGTTTGGCCCCTTGGCTGACATCACCCTGGAAGCCAGTGACCATAAGATAATTAGTATGAATGGTTTCTTGAATATCGATGCTATAGTGTTCCTTTAATTATAGAACATGTCCGTAACATTCAGGACATGTCTGAGTAAAGTTACATACATTATCCGTGTCTAATATGTTAATTTTTGGTTTCATATATTGTTTATAAATATATATATTGTTTATATATTATAAATGTTTTATATATTGAAATATTTCCTTATAGGTGTATGAAAGAAAACTTAATATTAATTACCAGATGTACAGAACATGTTAAATGAATGCCCTGTATTTTTGTGTCTCCTGCATTAGGTTTGATTGCTCAACATGTTAATTGTTATGTGTTGCCTCTGAAAGTGCTCGCGCCATTTCAGCGCCACTGTGCTGCTTCTTGAGCCAACTCATCCATTGAAAGATAAATATGCTTGTAATGTTTTTATCCTGGCAGTTTCTCAAGGGTGTGCAACATTATTTTTGCAACTGCTAGGTAATCCTAATTACTGGTTGTAAATATAATTTCATTATTCTAATTAAGGATAAATTCTAACCTGATATATTGTTCCCCGGCTATGTATAGTATGTTGCTGTCAAATTTAGATATTCTGCTTTTTGTTTCCAGTGGCATAGCTTTAGAATGCTCATGTGTTGTTTACACGTTCTTAATGGCATATTCTATATATTCTTGAATTTACAGGAGATGGGGAGAACCCAAAACCACAGCTTAAATATAAGTGCCATACAGCAAAGAAACTAAATATGACCAGGACTTTTTTGACAGAAAAAAAAGAATGTGACGAGGATGGTCAGTATCTATCTGTTTGTCTATCTGTCTACATCATTATATCACCTTTGCTATGACTGCTTTACCTCCTGAGGGTTGTGCATTAAATTATATTGAGAAAATAAATGCAAAATATGTTTCTCTTTTCAGACAATAGTCTGTAGTTTTTCAGCTGATCTTTAATTTATACGTAAAGGACAGTTACTAAATGTTTGTGTATACATAACCTATATGTTCAGTAATGCCTAGAAGTGACTAAAATGTTGCTCACTTACAAAAAAAAAAAAAAAAAACCACAATTAGCTTTATCGCTGCAGTTACTTCTGTTCACTTGAGCGAGCTAGATGCAGCTTGCACGTGCAGTGCACATGTGTTTGCAGCATTCATTCACTCGAGGAAACCACTGCTAAAGTGTTTAAAGGAGAACCCCATGCACATAGCCACTTCATGTCAATGGCATGGTTATGGTGCCTGGAGTCACTTGTGCACCTTTTTTCCTTTAGGCATTAAACTGTTTTTAAATGGTTTAACAGCGAATTGAATACCCCAGGCGCTAGTCCAACTTCCTCTCTGCAACTGCAGAAGCATGTGCTTAAGCAGCAGTGATAGTCTAAAGGTGTTGGCTGAGGCTCTCAGCCTGTTACTGGTCGCCCACAGCAAGTAGTACTTCAGACATGTACGTACGATTTTTGGATCATTTCTCACTATGGCGGTCAGTTGTGGAAGGGGGAAATCTCTGAACACAGAGGGTGAGAGCAACGAAACAGTATAGAAAAGACCTGGGTACTATGAGGGACATGAAGTTAATGTTCAAGTAAAGAGACCAGAACTACTGCGGTTGTCAAAGTGAGATCCCTAAAGGCGAGTTAAGTAAATGATCTTCATAATCAAAATGCTTGGAAGTGACTTCTTTAGACAAACTTTATTTGAGCAGGACCTCATCAACGATTGTTCCCATATGTAGTCATAAATTAGTTGAATGCTGTGTTCCGAATGTTCAGTGGTGATGTTTTTGCAAATTAAATTCCTCATACCTAGATTCTGAACACTGCTCAATGGTAATCTGTTGTCAGTTTTAATATTTCCTTTATTTTACTTTCAGGAGGTAAAGTAGAATGGTTTCAGATTAAAGATGACAATGACTCCACAATGCCCAACATGATATGCAGCTTTGTCCAGGAAAGTGAGGTTGAGGATGCAGAGAATGGATCTCTCAGTGAGGAAGAGACAGTGCAGCTTAATACTTCCACTGAGGATTCTGGGAATTTAAATCAAAGCTTTGACACGGAGAAGCAGGACATTGAGATGGATGAGCCTACACAATGCCAACAAGATGAGCAGGAAACTAAACAGACATTTGAACATAGCTTACCTGGAGATCAGGCAGACAAAACTTCATGACTTTTATCATCTTTACATTAAAAAGAAAAGGTAAATGGCTAATATGATTAACTGTTACACACTCCACAGCCTCTGCTTAGAGAAAGAGACTTGCTGGAGAACTCCATTGTTATATCTTGTCGTTGAATCTTAAATGTTAATTGTGTAATAGGCCACCATTTGCAGGCATGTGATAAGTGCCATTAAAGGGGTAAAAATGGAATATAAATTAGTAGTTATTCAAGCTCTTATTTTGTTATAATTTTTTTTTTTTACTTTGAAGTACACTTTATTATTCTCCAGTCTGCCTTCTAAAAGTGGCATGGTCCCTTCTGAGTTTTACATAAAGACAACTGTTTCTTAAATTCCAAAACAATCAGAAGATTTTAAGTCACAGTAGGGGCTACTTTGTTTGGTGGACAAGGTGTGTAAAATGTGTCACAGAGCTTCAAGCTATTTCAGACACAACATCTTGACATATATCATCACCTGTATTTCATCCACGGGGCTTCGTAGATGGCAAGTAATGCTGAAACAGTTTCAATGAAATTCATGCTGGGCACCTGACCTGGGTACCTGAAAGCCAATGAGGTAGTTCAGTTGGTAAATTCCCTGACTACAAAGCTTGTTCAAAAATGCAAGGTCAGAGCCCTTCATCCTTTCCAGTTCGATAAAATGAGTATCATCAATTGGGTAACCATAACCTCTATTACTATTCAGATTTGGTTAATTCCAAGAGCGTGCGCTGAAAAGCGTTTTCCCACTGGGAGTAAGGCGCTATATAAATACAAGTTGTTATTATTATTATTATTATTATTATTATTATTATTATTATTATTATTATTAATAAATATATATATATATATATATATATTTTTTTTTAATTCTTTATTTTTGTAGTGCATAAAAAATGTAACAGTCGCGTGTGAGGTACCCCAAAGGCAATCCTCCAGCGTTTCAAATTTATATATTACATTGGGGTAGTTGAGAAACATTTTTGGTTAAGGAAAAGGTTAATACAATACGTTGCATACAAGTTTGGTCAATTATGTCCTGTCGATTAGGTCTGCAAACTTTTAACAACAACAGTGAGGAGTGCGTTAGATCATGCTTAACCTGTCCTGTCGATTAGGTCGGCAGAATTTTAACATCAACTGTGAGGCTTTAATGCAAACAAGCTGAACTAGTAGTGCGTTAGATCATGCTTTTTTGTCACAGTGCTTATGAGACAGGGTTATCAGCTTAACGTTTGTGTTGTAGGTCGCACGTATAGTATTATGGCAAGTTAATTAAGACATTCCCAGTGGGTTGCAGGTCGCTGATAGCGCATCACACAAGGTAGCCAGCCCAAGGTCTAAGTACCCTTATTTAATAAGGTGGCTTGTGTCTCGCGGGCAAGTTAAACCTCGAGGTAGGGGAGGTAGTGGTATGTATGGGGTTGGTAAGAGAGCCCCACCATATATCGCTTGGGACCCTTTAAGCTAGGCAATAACTTTATGCACACATACTTTGAAATGTCCTGCTACTTTAGAATGTCAGGTTACGTTAGTTATAAGTCCTGCTTGTTGCCTCGATTGACGGGTTGAGGCAGACGGGGAAGAGTATTCTCCCGTGGAGCCTAACATCAGGGAGCTCTGTTGTTGCTTTCAGCCCATGCCACACTTCGCCATGATAGAGCAGTCCTTTAATTCTGGGTACTCCACTGATGAGATAATGGCAGTGCGTTGGAGTAGCTGCCCGGCTGTCTGTATGCTTTACTACGTCTTCCGTCGTGGTGTAAAGTGCGGTATGGATGGCTCTCCGTGTGGGAAATCGGTTCTTCGGCACGTCTGAGGTGGATGTGCTTGCTTGTGTGCCGTCCCTGGCGATGCGGGTACTGGCTTGTAGTGCCCCATTATCTTTTGCTTGTTTCAGACCCGCCGTGGAGCTGGGGTCGGAGCCCTGGAGCACATCCCAGAGGGTTTGTATCTTGTCGAGGTGCTTTGCTATGAGTTTACCTCTGGGTGTAGTGGGTGACGGGCTAGCTTGTGAGTGCTTTGTGTTGGGGGCGCTGGGTTGTTGCAGGCCCTCTCTGTGCTGTCGGCGCGCGTGGCGTCCGACATCTTAGTTAAGGTGTTGAGGCCGCAGCTCGTGGTGGTGAAGCTGCTAGGTCTTGGGTGGCCTGTTGTTGTCTTGGCCACTGGATCGGGACCGGGATCACCCCCCAGGGGGGGGAACCTGCGCCGATCCGGACCTCCAGTCGGGTGCTGCTGGGCAGGATTGCGGGGCAGCAGCCATCCGCTCACCGCCTGAGAAGGCCCCATCTTGGGGAATGAAGTCCTCTCCCCCAGGGGACTGTAGCTCTGTGAGCCAGCCTCTCCCTGGGCCCAGTGCCCCTTTTGTTCCAAAGATCCATGCTGCCGGTTTTCGCGGAAAAAACGTTTTTTTTTTGTTTTGTTTTTTTTTAGGGTTAAAGAGTGTTAGTTTACAGGAGCTGCTCATGTTTGCGACCGTCCAGCTCAGCGGACCGGCCCCGCCCCGTTATTACTATTAATACCTATATGGCCATGCCAGGACCTTGATCCCAGAAGTGATAAGCAGATCCATGTGGCGAATGCCAAGCTAATAGTAGTTGTTCCATATTGTTCACAGACTGACTTTCCATTTCAAAGGGTTATTATTGAAGTCTTCTGATAGTTAGTTTCTGCAACAGCATCTGTTAGATTACCTGCAACTGCCAGATTCTATCTCAATGTGTGGATCTGAATGATTCATACGAACATCTAGAATTCCAGATGCTTTGGACATACTTCTGCAAGAAAGAATCCAGATATATAATGTAATTGTAGATTATGCTAACGTAGTGTACCTATAATCTTAATTTTAATAATGACAGGAGGCGAGTATTTTGCATGACTTTCTTTACTATTGCCTCCAGCAGCACAAGTCAATCATTAAACTTTTAACCAATCATAACAAGCATCATAGCCATATATAAAGCCCTGACCATCACATGACTTCCTCTTTGTTTGGTGTGAGATTAGTTTTTATAATGTCAGGGAATAAAAACCAAAGTTCGTAATGATATAACAATTCAAACTTGCTCCATGGAAGTCCCAACTTCAATTTAGTCCAACTTCAAAACGGATAACGAATATCGGAAATGAAACTTGATCCGTAAGATCCAATATCTGGTGTGTCCCATCCGGAGCCAATAACGGCAATCACACTGAAAAAAACAGAAATGAGTGTAAGAGTATGGAAATAGACTTATGTCTACATGATATCGGTGATACTATATATATCCATATTCTATACAAATAATAACCTATCGTTTATATACTAGCATTAAACCATAATATCAATAAGTACTCGTCTATTACTTTAAAACACCCTATTCATATATAATATAGATAAACTATACAAAGTATAATTGAGCAAGAGAAACGGTGACATAAGATAACCCATAGAAATGGCAGGGAAAGGAGGGAAAATACTCGCCTCCTGTCATTATTAAAAGTAAGATTATAAGTACACTATGTTAGCATAATCTACAATTTTATCACATGACAGGAGGCTTTGTTATTTAAGGCAATAACGAGAAAGATGCGTGTGTGGTCTGACAAAAATAAAATAACTGGAAAGTGTCTTCCTGTGTCCAGTCTGCGGAACGTAACATATCCGCTAGAGAAGCTCCCGTCGAGAACGCTCGCGAAGCGGCCGCGCCCCGAACTGAGTGAGCCCCGAAACACGTCTCCACTCCTGCTAAGGATAGGATCCAACGAACCCATCGAGCCAGAGTAGTATTGGTAACCGGCTTGTAGGGTTTGGTGTACGACACCATCAGTTGTCCACTACTAAAAGCTCGAAGGTTTGCAGTAACCTCTACATATCGAGTAAGTGCGGAAACTCCAGATTCTCCTGTACCACTAGTGGATGTGGTTCCCCTTTCGGGTCTGTCAGTAGGAAGGGGAACGATGGAAGAAGTAGGGGATAGTCTTGTGTTAGAGCCAATAACTCCGGAAACCACGCCTGACTTTTCCACAATGGTGTGACGATAATTGAGATCTTGGTCGTTCTGATGCAATGGATTACTCTCGCTATCATCGAGAATGGTGGGAATGCGTACGCTCCCTTCGGGGCCCACAGTTGTAGAAAGACATCTACCGCCTCGCATTGAGGGTCTGGAAGCCAGCTGTAATATCTTGGTAACTGTGTGTTCGTCCGAGACGCAAACAGGTCCACGACCAATGGGCCCCTGAGGTCCCTCACCACTGAAAATACTGATGTGTCCAGTTGCCAGTCGCTGCCGTCTCGCCAGTGTCGAGAAAACCAATCCGCCGTGAGGTTGTTGATTCCCGGTAAATATTCCGCCTTGATCGTAATGTTGCGGGGAATACAGAATTGATAGATGTCCTTCGTCGCCTCTGTCAAGACTCTTGATCGGGCTCCTCCCAAGCGATTTATGTATTGGACCGCGGAGATATTATCCATGCGCAGAAGGATGCAGCAGTTCGCCATGTCCTTGGCAAGACTGCGAATCGCAAATGATCCCGCAATCAGTTCCAGACAGTTGATGTGGAGACCCTGTTCCTCTTGTGACCATGGACCTCCCGTGGATGCGTGGGTGCAGTGAGCTCCCCAGCCCCAAAGGCTCGCGTCCGACTCCAATACAAAGTCCGGGTTTGTCCCGAAGATGGCCTTGCCGTTCCAGGCTTCCATGTGAAGTAGCCACCATCGAAGTTCCGTCCGTGCTTCTGCGGAGACAGGAATCCAGTGGTCGTACGTGTGTCCGGCTCGTAGGTATTGAGCTTTCAATCTCTGCATGGCCCGGTAGTGGAGCGGGCCTGGGAAAATCACCTGTATTGATGAGGAAAATAGACCTACTATCCTCGCTAGTAGTCTGAGAGATATGGTGTCTCTCCTGAGTATGCGTCGAATTTCCTTCCGAATGGCCGCTTTCTTCGATGCGGGGAGACGTAGTACACAAGAGTTGGAGTCTATCTCGAACCCGAGGAATTGAACTATTCGGTATGGAGTCAACGATGATTTTTCTCTGTTCACTACAAACCCCAATGATTCAAGAAAGTGAATGGTAAATCTCGTCTGAGATCGAATTCTGGAGTTGGAGTCGCAGAAAATCAACAAATCGTCCAGATACACGAGACCGCGTATTCCCCTTTCTCTCAGATGGGCAATGACTGGTTGGGGAGTTTCGTAAAAACACCATGGGGCCTCCTATTACAGTCCCTATGGTACTTCTCCTGCAAGGGCTCCCTAGCACAGGGCTTAATGGGTTCAACCTGTAATGGAAGGACATAAAATATGCAAAAAACCTGTGCCAGTTCGTGGGAATCATGAACTGGCAAGCTAAGATGGCCGCCGAGATCTCATGGGATCGCGAGATCCAAGATGGCCGCTGTTCGCGCGCAAAATTTGACGCGCAGTCCGCAATCGCCCCCTGTGCCCTCCCCCCCCCCAGTACCCTGGTACCCTTAAGGCTAACCTGGTGGTCCAGTGCGATCACGGTAAAATGCAGCGAATCGCGAGGGACAAGCAAGCAAAGAGGCAGGCTGAGGGAAACCGTGAAATCCTGAAGGAGAAAATACCACAAAGTCCAGGGTGAAAGGAGGATAGGATGAGGGAGAGCAGGGGTAAATACTTGGGACAAAGAATGACACAATAAAAGATAAGGTGTACTGATAAGATAAGAACAGTGAGAGCAGAATACTCTGACCTGTGCCTTGGCTGGAAACGGCAAAGAAAGAGGAAGTCATGTGACGGTCAGGGATTTATATATTTTAGCAGGAGTGGAGACGTGTTTCGGGGCTCACTCAGTTCGGGGCACGGCCGCTTCGCGAGCGTTCTCGGCGGGAGCTTCTCTAGCGGATATGTTACGTTCCGCAGACTGGACACAGGAAGACACTTTCCAGTTATTTTATTTTTGTCAGACCACACACGCATCTTTCTCGTTATTGCCTTAAATAACAAAGCCTCCTGTCATGTGATAAAATTGTAGATTATGCTAACATAGTGTACTTATAATCTTACTTTTAATAATGACAGGAGGCGAGTATTTTCCCTCCTTTCCCTGCCATTTCTATGGGTTATCTTATGTCACCGTTTCTCTTGCTCAATTATACTTTGTATAGTTTATCTATATTATATATGAATAGGGTGTTTTAAAGTAATAGACGAGTACTTATTGATATTATGGTTTAATGCTAGTATATAAACGATAGGTTATTATTTGTATAGAATATGGATATATATAGTATCACCGATATCATGTAGACATAAGTCTATTTCCATACTCTTACACTCATTTCTGTTTTTTTCAGTGTGATTGCCGTTATTGGCTCCGGATGGGACACACCGGATATTGGATCTTACGGATCAAGTTTCATTTCCGATATTCGTTATCCGTTTTGAAGTTGGACTAAATTGAAGTTGGGACTTCCATGGAGCAAGTTTGAATTGTTATATCATTACGAACTTTGGTTTTTATTCCCTGACATTATAAAAACTAATCTCACACCAAACAAAGAGGAAGTCATGTGATGGTCAGGGCTTTATATATGGCTATGATGCTTGTTATGATTGGTTAAAAGTTTAATGATTGACTTGTGCTGCTGGAGGCATGAGTAAAGAAAGTCATGCAAAATAGGAAGCCTCCTGTCATGTGATAAAATTATTATTATGATATTTATAGAGCGCCGTCAAATTCCGCAGCGCTTTACAATGGGTGGCGAACAGACATGTAGTTGTAACCAGACAAGTTGGACAGACAGGAACAGAGGGGTTGAGGGCCCTGCTCAATGAGCTTACATGCTAGAGGGAGTGGGGTAAAATGACACAAAAAGGTAAGGATAGTATTAGACTAATGACAGTTGCAGAAGAGGAATCAGTCAGGAGCTATTAACAGTTTAATTGATAAGCTTTTATGAAGAAGTGGGTTTTTAACGATTTTTTGAAGGAGTGGAGACTGGGTGAGCATCTAACGGAGGAGGGAAGCGAGTTCCACAGGAACGGTGCAGCCCTCGAGAAATCTTGAAGGCAAGCATCAGAGGTGGGAGTACGGACAGAAGATAGACGTAAATCTTCAGCAGATCGTAAGGGCCTATATGGGACATACTTGTGTATAAGGGAGGACAGATAGATGGGAGCAGCATTATGTAGCGATTTGGAAGCAAGAACCAGAATTTTAAATTGAGCTCTTTATTTTATAGGAAGCCAAAAATTGAAATATAATCTTTTAATTTATTATTTCTTAAATGTCATTTGTATTACAACTAATTATAACTTTTGTCTAATTATACTTTTTTCAGTCACTGCTTGTGCGCTTTACTTATATGAACTATTTGGACATAACTGAGATACCTCTAAATGTGTGCTTTTTCTAATGGTGCAATGCACATTTATCAATACATGTATTGTATGTTATAACAGTAATTTTCGGAAAAATTTAAAAAAAAAATGCTACATTAACACTTTTTTGTATTTTTAAGATTGAAAGTCATTTTGTTACTTTAGGAACATAAAATATAACTATGGACAATTTGACTTGGCATAAAATTATCACAACTAGCATATTAAAAATATAGTGTAGCCAAACAATTTTTTGTAATATTGATTTGTAACAAAGGGAGCAACAATCTCCTGAACTGCTTACTAGTTTATGTGGAACAGCCAAAAAGCCTCCACAAAACAAGTTTCAAAACCAAAAGTAACAATTTTTCATATTTCCTCTTCACAGTTTTAAATAAAAATAAAAACCCCGTTCTCATTAAAATAATTGAAGATGGGGGGAAGTGTTAAGAAGACAGTGGGACTGTTTCAATGGACATTTAACATGTCTGCAGAAGATGGAGGTATCTGGAGAAGGCGAGAAGCAATAGGAGTCAGAGGCTGTTGTGCAAAGACCTTGCCACCATGTTGCAGGAGGAATATGTTTGGAAGAATCCCAGATTGCATTCCTGGACCAAATCCCTGAAGATGTTCTATACTTTGCAACATTTGAAAGTACTTTCCCAACATCAAGTCCTAAATGTGATGCTTGTTTTGTGATCCAGTCAAATGCAGTAGCAGTATCATCATCACTTATGTTTGCTCCTTTGAATCTTGGATCCAACAGATTTGCAGCAGCATGAATTGGATGACAACAAAATTCTTCCCTTTTTTAAATAAAATCTTTCACTTTACTTTCTTCTATAGTTGTACGTGGAGATATACTGAGATTTTCAAAAACAGTTGTTTTTATCTTGGTCATTAGATAAGGAATTTCTAACAAAAGTGCACGATCTGATTCAGATGCAGTGATTGCTGCAGCAATTGGCATGATAATCTTCAGGGAATTTTGCAGGTGAACCCAGAAGACATCCAGATCAAGAACAGTGATTCTTGCACTCCTGGGTGTAAGATCTTCAACTATTACTGTTTCTTGAAGAGCTTCTTGGTTTTTTAGTAAACTTTCAAAGGAGATCACCACGCAATTTACATGCATGCAACATACCCATGCCTTCGCCTATGTCTGCTGTCGTGGCACTACAGGCTTGTTTTGTAAACTTTACTGCACCAAAAATAAAGAATTAAAGAAAAAATTTTTTTTTTATTCATCATGTTAAAATAAAATATTCTCTTTAAATAAAGTATCTCTTTAACCTTCTGGATATCAAAGTGTCCTGGTCTCAAACTATACATTTTTTTTTTTTTAGTTACTTACATGTTCTAATTAAATTTTTGCTTTGTTTCTTTCTTTTATTCACAATATAATTTCTACAGAATTGAACACAAGACGTGTGACTATTTATCCATAATGCATGCAAGACTTTTCGATAACCAAGGACAACACCATAGCAGCTCACAAAACTTGCTGTTAAAGGGACACTCCAGTGCCAGGAAAACAATCAGTTTTCCTGGCACTGCATGTCCCCTCTCCCTTCCATCCCCGGTTGCTGAAGGGATGAAAACCCCTTCAGGTCACTTACCTGAGACCCCGCCATGTCCCTCGGTGGTGGTTTCTGCTCGCCGCCGCTCCTCCCAGTCATTACGTCAGCCGGTGGGTGAGACTGATCCCGCCTGCCGGCTGAGGAGACCTAATGCATTAGAGCTCTCCATAGGAAAGCATTAAAAATTCTTTCCTATGGGGAATTGAGCGACGCTGGAGGTCCTCACACAGCGTGGCGGTCTACTAGACAGCCACTAGAGGTGGAGTTAACCCTGCAAGGTAATGATTGCAGTTTATAAAAAACTGCAATAATTACACTTGCTGGGTTAAGAGTAGTGGGAGTTTGCACCCTGACCACCCCAATGGGCAGAAGTGGTCTGGGTGCCTGGAGTGTCCCTTTTAAGTAGCATTGGCTGGATTGTTTTGGGAACAAATGCAAAGCAGTATACAGCGGGTGCAATTTTACCAGACAACACACTTATATTAATGGACGAATAACAAAAATGTGGGATTGCGGATAGCTTTTGTTTATTATCATTATTATTATTATTGCCATTTATATAGCGCCAACAGATTCCGTAGCGCTTTACAATATTATGAGAGGGGGATTTAACTATAAATAGGACAATTACAAAAAAAACTTACGGCAACAATAGGTTGAAGAGGACCCTGCTCAATCGAGCTTACATTCTATAGGAGGTGGGGTGTAAAACACATTAGGACAGGAATTTGCAGTCAAATCAGGTGGGCTGCTCTTTGGGAGAAAGCAAGAGACAGGTATGTGAGGTAGAGGTTAGTCTAGGAGGCCATAAGCTTTCCTAAAGAGATGAGTATTAAGGCACTTCTTAAAAGATGCCAGACTAGAGGAGAGTCTGATGGCAGTAGGCAGGCTATTCCATAGGAAGGGAGGCGCCCGCACAGGAGATGGTCACGGGCTGAGCAAAGAGACCGAGAAGGGACATACCTATGGAAATGTGAGGAGATATAAGGGTGGCTAGAGTTGTTCAGTGCTTTATAGGTGTGCATTACTACCTTAAATTGACTCCTATAGCAAACAGGAAGTCAATGTAAAGACTGGCAGAGGGGTAAGGTGTGAGAGAAACGACTAGAGAGGAAAATCAGTCTGGCAGCAGCGTTCATTTTGGACTGTAGCAGTGCAGTACGGCTTTTGGGAAGACCAATCAGGAGAGGGTTACAATAATACATGCGGGAAATTACTAGAGCATGCACAAGCTCCTTGGTAGCATCTTGTGTAAGAAAGGGGCGGATGCGGGCTATGTTTTTAAGATGGAATCTACAGGATTTGGCAACATGCTGGATGTGAGGCCAGAATCAAGTATGACGCCAAGACAGCGCGCTTGCAAGGATGGACCGATGTGGGTACCACAAACGTGAAGGGAGAGTGAAAGAGTGAAAGAGGAGGATCGGTATTAGGAGGAGGAAAGACAAGGAGCTCAGTTTTAGAGAGATTGAGTTTCAGAAAGCGGGAGGACATCTAGTCAGAGATGGAAGAAAGGCAAGCAGTGACACGTTGCAGGACGGCAGGGGAGAGGTCCGGGGAGGAGAGATATAACTGGGTGTCATCAGCATACAGGTGGTAGTGGAATCCAAAAGAGGTAATAAGTGGAAGTGGAAGGTGGAAGTAATGAAGATGGTGTTGCCAGGGACAGGTGAGCAAAAGGATAGGGATATTTTAGAAATGAGAGAAGTGAGTGTTATAGTGAAAAATAGAAGTGAGAACATTAGAGAAAATGTGTATTATATAGATATGTAGTCTCTCTCTCTCTCTCTTCCCCATCCCCACCCCCCACCACAAATATCAATGAGTATTTAAACCATTGTAAGGATGCAGTATGTTAACAGAGGATTTCAGGTGAGGAGAGGTTTAGTGACTTGATTGGTGTGTTTTGGAAACCAGCTGATTTGCACGATCTATAAGTAAGGTAATGACCATGGGGTGGGCAATCTTCCAGAGATGATACCTCTGCTCAGAAGATTCTGCAGGACTTGGTTGCTTGGGAGTGCTGGGTGTTAATGCTGTTGTAAGGGGCCCAGTCTAAAATATAAGGTCTGAGGTTAGAAAAAAAAAAGAAATAAAACACAATATTATGGGTGGGAGACATGGGGCTATTGAGGCAATTAATTAGAGATGAAAAAACCAGAGGAGAGAACATCTTTGATAAAAAGATATGAAGGATCGGATAGGTGAAAGTCATAAACCATGAACATAAATTTACAAGATTATCATTGAGAGTAGTAACACTAGCTAAACAAACAATTAACATCTCAAACTACTGCAAATATTTTCACTTAAAATAAAAAAATGTTGTATTTTTTTTGGGGGGGGGGAGGGGGGATGGTATATAGTTAAAGTTTTAGCTAACATTCCTGTGAAAAAAGCAACAGCCAGTTGCCAATTATTTGTGCACCTCTTTTTAATTTATATCGACTTCCCTATTGTGAGCTAAAGGTGTTTCTTTGTGAATGAATAAATATCTTATTTTTGTAATTTTTAATAGTGTTGGTACCTGTGGTGGTTCTTTATTGTTCATTATATTGTAGTATGCATTCCCACCTTGTATTTCTGATTGTACTAATGTTTCAACTAAAACATTGGGCCTGAAATTTTCTGAGTTTGAGATGATGTTCTGTATATTGACATCATGAATAGTATCCTGACACTCTATAAATGGGAATTTCATACACTGCATACTTTAAATTACCAAGAAATATTTTCACTCTTGATCTTCTTTGGGAAAATAAAAGTATAACAAACTAGTTTCCTGCGTACATTCCTAGGTAGTAAAAAGAAACTCTTCAGCTTAATTAAAAACCATAACGCTGCTCTGTCACTTTCAATGCCATCCCCACTTGGGGTGCAGAGGCCTGGGTTACAATGGAAAGTAGATATACTTACCTGAAGCAGTCTTCCACAGGTGCTGCCATTTTCTATGTTTAACGCCTCGTATTCGCAATGACTGGGAGAATTGACAAAACTTGATGGCAGCAGTAGTCTCTACTTTTGACTGAGATGGAACATCTGGCCGGCCTGTGTTCACCAGGTGGTGGGTACTTGTATGCGTTCTTAGGCTCTATCGTAGGTCACACATATGGTTACTGGTAATGAGTATAGGGGGATAGCGGATGTCCCTGACCTTACAGTTCCACCTTACATATGCCGGTTGTATAGTTCTATCCATAGTGACCATGTTGTGCTAACCCTCTGTGCCGTTTTGGTGTCAGGAGCGGCCATTTTTTCGTAGATGTAAAATTGGTGTATTTTGTCCCGTAGTTGGGTTTTGTTTGGGCAAGTTGTGGATTTCCAGTGGAGGGCCAGTAGGCTGCGAGCCGCTAGAGTGATAATGGCACACAGCTGTTTGTGTGAGTTTCGGAGTGTCGGAGGAAATCTCAAGAGTAAATATGTGTCGGGTGTCTTTTGGGTATCTGGGATTTGGAGTGCTCTGATCGTATTGTGTACCTCTGTCCATAGGGGCTGGATGTTGGGGCACTCCCACCAGACATGTATAAGTGTGCCCTCCGCTGCGGAATATCTCCATTTGGGTGTATTTTGTGAAGTTTGTGTGGGGTTAGGTACCATCTGTACATGAGCTTTCTGTGTGCTTCTATGTGTGTGTAGCATTTTGTCCATTTAGATAGGTCGTTTAGAACATGTAGCCAGTCTTCGTCTGTGAGTTGGATGGCACAGTCTAGTTCCCACAGAGTTTTGCAATGTGGTGATATCTTAGGTGTAGTGTCTTCCCATGCTTTATAGCATAGGGAAATAGTTTTTGGTTTTGTGGGGTGTTTCCAGCACCTCTCTATGATTGTCTTTGTTGGTAAAGATATTTGAGCATGGTTTGGGTAATGAGTATTTTTTAACTGTAATGTGATGTCATGTTTTCTTATTAAGAAGCAAGCCCAGTACACTGTACATTATGTGCATAGCTTGGATTCTTGTTTATTTGTAATAGTTTTTAGGTGAATGTTGTGTGCAGACTTTCCCTTCAAAATCAATTATGTTTTGTTTTTTGTTTTTTTACTATATCCTGCAGCCAGTTTCCAGTAAGTGTGGAATTATCAAGAGAACATGCTTGGCAACTTCACATGAGCTCTCCTGGGGGAAGGTATTTCCAGAGCAAATACTGTCAGGTGCAACCTATGCAACCTCATAGTCTGAATAATGACTCTGAGTTGCACTATTTCTTATAGGCTTCAAAGAATAATTAGTATTGCTCTGCTAAGGGTGATATATGTGGAAAAAGGATGTGTTTTTTCTGACTATCTGGAGTTATACTTCACAAATAAAGCATTTTAAAAACATATATTTTGATTTATCCTTATAGGTTTTTAGAAAATAATTCTTTTCTGTGTATAAGTTAAATAGTTACATTTTTCTTTTAGGGTTTTAGGTGCTAAAACCCTAAAAATAAAATTTACTGTACTGTACAAGCATTTTCTTTTTAATGTGAACTATTGGTATGTCTTTGCCCGATGGAAATACTGATTGGTTAAAGAGACACAATATGCACCCAGACCACTTTGTCTCATTGAAGTGGTCTTCGTGCAGAGCCCCTGTCCCCTTAACCATGATATGATAACTATTAATTAAATTGCAGAGCTAACTCCTCCAGCCATTAGAGGCGCTTCCTGGTGTTTCACAGAGTTTCTCAGTAAAGCAAAGTTGAGCTTCCTCACACTTCTCATGATGACGTCCAGCATCTTGAAAATCCCCATAGGAAAGCATTAACTTAATGCTTTCCTATGGTGAATGGTAAATGTGTACGCAGCGCTCTCCGTGCATGCACATTAGGTTTCCGAAACGCTGTGAGGTCAGCAGAGGAGGAGCCTGAACCAGCGACAAGGGACATAGTCACTGGAATTAGGTAAGTGGAAATAACCCTTTATTTGCTGCTGGGAGGACACCGCATTTGCAGAGGGACATTGTAGTGTTAGGAATACACTTTTGTATTTCTAATACTATAGTGTTCCTTTAATCGGCTAAAGATCAGAAACCAGTGTACATTTAAAAGGACCTTCCACTACAGGCAGCATTATTCCTTTTGAAAAGGCCAGCAGACGGCGAAACATGTCTTTGACCGGAGAATTCCCATTTCTATTTAATGTGGTTTATTTTTTATTTGTTTTTATCAAATTGATTTAGTAAATTGTTGTAGTTTTGCTACATATTCTGTGGGATCCTTACTGCTGCTTGCTCCTCTTAAAAGAAGAGTACCCCCCTGTACTGGTACCCTGCATTTCATGCCAGTGTGAGTATAAAAGGTTCTTTGCAAGGTGAAATTCACAAGATACTTTTGTTATCTCACTTAAGTGTGGTTGACACTGCACCATTGGTTTATATGTTTTATTTCCCTGAGCACATCCAATTAGAGGAAAACTATAGTGTGAGAAATATAAAACTGTATTCTTAACACTATAGTGTTTCTCTGCCCCCCACCCTGTGGCAATTAAATGGTTAAAAAAAAAATTTCTCTTGCCTTATTCCAGCACCAAGGTCCCTTGAAGCTGAATTAGTCTCCACTTCCTCTGACATCATTGCAACAGGGAACCTAACCCCCCACACCATAGGATTTAAAAAAAAAAACTTGTTTAATGTGGCAGCTGGCCAGCAATTGCTTTTGTGGCATAATAGTCATCAACTCAAACTGGTTTTGTTTTTTTGCTTTCTTTTAGAGTAACAGCAGAAAAAGATGTGTTTTAAAGGTTGAACCTTATGGACCTGATTGTTTTTTTTTCAGTCTAGATTACTATGTACATTAGGAAATGTACATTAGGAAATCCATGCAGGGCACCGATATAGCAAAATGTGACCAAGGAGTTTAGTCCTTAGACAGTGAACTTTAGTAAACTGAAAACCAATTTTCAAAAAGTTTAGGAACATATAGCTAACCTAGAAATATACTCAATTAATCTATAATCAGATCTTTATTTTACCCTACATTTTGCCATTTTGTTTTCAGTTCACTACAGTTTGCTGTTAAGGTGAAAAAACACAGATTGAGTAACTAAATGATAAAGGAAAAAATGGATACTGTGGTTAGTTTGGTATTTTTAGTACTTCTATTTTAGAGACATAGAAGCAGTTTTTAATTGCTATTTGTGAAAAAAAATTAAGTTGGGCAAGGGTTCCAGTTTAATATGTGATTTTATATATAGAAAGCAAAATATATACTAGGATATGTTGGTATTTTTTGTATATGTGGACTTCTGAAAATCTTAATAAAAACCTATTTTTAAATTAAAAAAAAAACTAATTCAAAGCATTTGTGTCCTATTGCATGAACATATTGCAAAACTAGAGTTTACAATTGTGTGAGCCAGCAAAGTGACTGAGTGGACATGTGTATGGCCGCGGCTCTAGTCTCTTTCTGATGGAGGAGATAGGTCCTGTGTAAAAGTTTAAGCAGTTGGCAAAATGAATATATGCCAGATTTGAGACATGAGCTCAGGGATAGTTTTGCATTGCTGCAGTTATAAGCCACCATCATCAATGAGAGTGGGTATGTAGGATAGTCTCTGCACAAAGTTGTTAGGGTGCTCATCCCCCCCCCCCGAAATTCTTTATTGTTCAAAATAAACATGAATAAATTCTATATTGTTCAAAATAAACATGAATAACCGGTGGGGACAGCCACTCTTGTGGTTGTACAATGGTCCACAGTACATGCAACATACATCTGAGTGTAACATCATTGGTACATCCAATCATAAACCACATCACTGAACAGTGTTCTCATGTCCCTTAGGCCCCCAATTGTATCCTCTGTTGTCAGTTTTGCCATTGAGGATCGTGGTACCCTATGGTTTTTCATGCTTGGCCTACATCTGTTAGGGGGTCGTGGTGTGGTCTCACTTGCGCTCTAATGTTTGGAGTATCTAATGTTGAGTGGTGCTCAGGTTGGGAAGGCATAGTTTTGGTTTACCATGATGTCCACTCTAGGTGATAGTATAAGGTATAGGTCGCATTGTCTGTGTGTGCTTCTGGTGAGGGATGGGGTTATGGTTTGGAGTTTATTTTGGTGAGGGGCATGCTTCTGTGTCGTGCTGCTGTCTAGGGAGCCCACGGTGCTGGTCGATGGTTTACTTTCTAGTGTGTGCTATCTCCAATTGGTCCGCAGGCTCGTAGTTAGTGGTGAGGTGTCGGGTTGGGGAGGGGTTAGGAACTTTAAACAGGAAGGTGTAATTGAGAAACTATGTACAATGGTCGCAGTGAGGAGCTGTGTTTCAAAGTAGGATACAGACTCAGAGAGAGGCGTATCAGTAGAGAGATTAGGTGGTTAGTTATGGTGCTCATTTTGAATACTGGGCATTGAACATATCAGTCTGTTTGTACAATACATGCTTTGCATTTATCTTTTCAAATTTGTAAGAGATGTCATTACCTACATCTATATTTCCAAAACGATATTTATAAAGTAAAACCGAAAGAAACATCGTCATATAAAAGGATATATAAAAGTAACATATACACATTCAATAGTATTCAGTTGTTGAACAAAGAATAATCAATATAATTTTTGCTTCTTAAGAGATGCAATCTGACTGGTCAGAATGTTTTTAATATCTTGAAAAGACAGTAAATATAACTAGGTCCAATCAAGTATAGAAACCTTTCAGTACCGTCTTAGGCCATCTCAATATTGACTGATCAGTTGCAAGGTGGTGGTCACAGTAAAAGGCAAGCATTTGGAAAGTATACTTGCATTTCCACATACATGCCTTTTTACTGTGACCATATGGTTTTACTACTTGGGGGAACCCAGTTAAGTTTACTGTCGTTGTAAGAAAATATATAACATGCAATGTGTAAACTGTTAGCACTAGAGGGGGCCACTTATTTAGTTACCGGAGTTGTACTGGTTGTCTTTCTTTGTCCTTATCTTATGAACAAGTAACTCCGTCAACTAAAAAGTCACTTGAGCATACAGTAACTGACAATAGAAGATAAGCAGAGCCTGTAAGATTCAGATCAGAACCCATTAAACAGTCCCAGTCTGACCTAATGTATCAGAACCCTGCTCTCATGACTTCTGTAACATGTGATGTCATGACAGGCATCAACTGCTCAGGGTGACTGTGTTAATTAACCCTTTCACAGCCTACAAGATGTTTAATGTGATGCCCCATCTATGAACTGAACTAAAACTTGTTGAATGCTAAATTCTTAATTTACCTCAACTTATTTGCACAATGTTTTTTTTTTTCTCTTTCCCAAATAGTTTAATGTTTTGCCATTTTCATTCACACAAGTAGTCGTATTTCTTAATTTAAAAAAAAGTTGACGTAAACTTCTTGCAAACCATTAAAGCTACAAGTGGGAATATGTTTATCATACATATTTGAAATCATACAAAACAAACAAAGGTACGTTGGTTCTTATAAAGTCATGATATGTAACATATATAATGTTAAAAGCAAATATTTATAAAATCCTCTCTTAAGGTAAATCATAATGTATATCTCTGTTTGTATGCACTAAGATTTTAACACCTCTCCCGCCTCCCCCTCTCCCCCCCCATCCCATTGCAAAGAATACATAATGTATCACAAAGATGCATGATGTATTTGGTGTAAAACTTCAAAACATACTTGCCAAACCATCAGTGCAGCACCGCCATTTCTTTAGCTTCGTGAGTATTACACTTCACCTACTCACCTCTGGTCTACCCACACTCCGCCTGGGTTGTTCGCAAACTTCTTGGGTGAATCCTACATCAACAGTTCACCTTGCTGCTTCCAGCGAATGAGACAGAAAGTTGTATTCCTATAAATCTCTGCACACATATTGACCGCATTTCGCACTGCAGTCTGAGACTGTATTCTATTAGTAAAAACATCAAGACTTATGCTTAAAAGTGTTCTTAAAAAGTGGTGCAAAAATGTACAGGGTCTCCCAAAAGTAAGTATACAGTTGAATCCATGTTATTCTTCAGAACAGATTATATGGGTACACAAACAGTTAAAGTGTCAGTTAAATGTTAGGCATTAAATATCAGTGTGGCAGATAATAGAATATTTTTTCTTTGCGGTTATTGTGAATGATTACCGCAAAATATACTGTATACAGGGAGTGCAGAATTATTAGGCAAATTAGTATTTTGACCACATCATCCTCTTTATGCATGTTGTCTTACTCCAAGCTGTATAGGCTCGAAAGCCTACTACCAATTAAGTATATTAGGTGATGTGCATCTCTGTAATGAGAAGGGGTGTGGTCTAATGACATCAACACCCTATATCAGGTGTGCATAATTAGGCAACTTCCTTTCCTTTGGCAAAATGGGTCAAAAGAAGGACTTGATAGGCTCAGAAAAGTCAAAAATAGTGAGATATCTTGCAGAGGGATGCAGCACTCTTAAAATTGCAAAGCTTCTGAAGCGTGATCATCGAACAATCAAGCGTTTCATTCAAACTAGTCAACAGGGTCACAAGAAGCGTGTGGAAAAACCAAGGCGCAAAATAACTGCCCATGAACTGAGAAAAGTCAAGCGTGCAGCTGCCACGATGCCACTTGCCACCAGTTTGGCCATATTTCAGAGCTGCAACATCACTGAGTGCCCAAAAGCACAAGGTGTGCAATACTCAGAGACATGGCCAAGGTAAGAAAGGCTGAAAGACGACCACCACTGAACAAGACACACAAGCTGAAACGCCAAGACTGGGCCAAGAAATATCTCAAGACTGATTTTTCTAAGGTTTTATGGACTGATGAAATGAGAGTGAGTCTTGATGGGCCAGATGGATGGGCCCGTGGCTGGATTGGTAAAGGGCAGAGAGCTCCAGTCCGACTCAAACGCCAGCAAGGTGGAGGTGGAGTACTGGTTTGGGCTGGTATCATCAAAGATGAGCTTGTGGGCCTTTTCGGGTTGAGGATGGAGTCAAGCTCAACTCCCAGTCCTACTGCCAGTTCCTGGAAGACACCTTCTTCAAGCAGTGGTACAGGAAGAAGTCTGCATCCTTCAAAAAAAACATGATTTTCATGCAGGACAATGCTCCATCACACGCGTCCAAGTACTCCACAGCGCGGCTGGCAAGAAAGGGTATAAAAGAAGAAAATCTAATGACATGGCCTCCTTGTTCACCTGATCTGAACCCCATTGAGAACCTGTGGTCCATCATCAAATGTGAGATTTACAAGGAGGGAAAACAGTACACCTCTCTGAACAGTGTCTGGGAGGTTGTGGTTGCTGCTGCACGCAATGTTGATGGTGAACAGATCAAAACACTGACAGAATCCATGGATGGCAGGCTTTTGAGTGTCCTTGCAAAGAAAGGTGGCTATATTGGTCACTGATTTGTTTTGGTTTTGTTTTTGAATGTCAGAAATGTATATTTGTGAATGTTGAGATGTTATATTGGTTTCACTGGTAATAATAAATAATTGAAATGGGTATATATTTGTTTTTTGTTAAGTTGCCTAATAATTATGCACAGTAATAGTCACCTGCACACACAGATATCCCCCTAACATAGCTATAACTAAAAACAAACTAAAAACTACTTCCAAAAATATTCAGCTTTGATATTAATGAGTTTTTTGGGTTCATTGAGAACATGGTTGTTGTTCAATAATAAAATTAATCCTCAAAAATACAACTTGCCTAATAATTCTGCACTCCCTGTATTTACTTTTGGACCACCCTGTGTGTGCACTAGATTTCATCTTATTGTCTTTTTATCGTTTCATATTATCCCATACTCATTTGGACTTGAGGACATTACTGAAGGTGCTGCTTCCCTACATCCCCCATTTTTACACAAATGGAATATGCATATTGGTTAAACTGATTACTGACCCACAGATGTGATGTATGGATTGTTGGGCTGTGTATGAGTGTATGAGTGTATGTATTGTGATCATTGGGCAGTTGGGCTGTTGTTGGCTGTGAATGATGCACTTCCTTTCTTTTGGTTCTTTACTTCCTGTTCCTGTTGGCAGTTGGTGGAATGTTCGAGGGATTTGAAATGGCGGCTGCAGAAACCCTGTGTAACAAGGCTGCAATATGAAGATGCTGTTATATATGTATTAATAAAGTGAGTACTTCGTTATACAGGAATTATTGACTGATTTGTACAAAACATCACAGTGGCAACGAGGCTGTAGAACCCAAACTGCCATGGCAGCCATTGGCACTATAAAGGACTTTGATCCTGACTCGGATTTATAGGCCTCTTGGGTTGAAAGGCTTGAACAATATTTTGCAGCTAATGATATTCCTGACAATAAACAGGTCGCTTTTCCTAACAGTTATAGGAGCCAGAACGTATGATACGCTAAGGAGCCTCTTACACCCAGAGAAACCTGCCAGCAAGCCATTGGCAAGCCTGATTACTCTGTTAAGTGGCCATTTCCAACCAAAACCACTAGAGATAGCAGAGAGATTTAAATTCTATAAAAGAAGACAAGAGCCTGGTGAATCAGTTTCAGCAAATGCCATTGCATTATGGAAACTCGCCAGCACCTTCTGTTTTGGGGACTACCTGCCCACTGCTCTGCAAGACCAGTTTGTAATGGGCATTGCAAGTGATACAGTGCTAAGGAGACTGCTTACAGAAGAAGATTTAACATTTAAAAAGGCAATGAACGTGGCAAGCATTATAGAACAAGCCTCTAAGGATGCTAATCTGTTACACAGCAGACTGGACAACACACAGGAGGCAGAGCTAGACGTTTTAAAACTAGATGCTAGAGCACCAGGTGAACCACAGGGAAAGAGACTTTCAAAACAGGAACATTCACATTACAAATGTTATCGCTGCGGAGCTGCTACACATGTTGCAACTACATGCAGATTCAAGGTTGCCAAGTGTCATGCTTGTGGTAAAATGGGCCATTTACAAAGAGTGTGTAAATCCACAGCAGAGAGAGGCAGTAATCGCTTGAGAGACAGAGCAAAGAATGTCTATAGAGTACAAAGGCAGGAGTCTTCTGAGGATTCGGATGAACAATTTCCTGTCTGAAATTTAAAAATATATAAAATTGGTTCTAATCTGGCTGCATTCACAGTTCAGGTTGTTGTAAATGGAAAGAAACTGACTATGGATTTGGACACAGGTGCAGCTGTATCAGTGATTTCTTTGACAGACTGGAAACGCCTTAAAATACATAGGCCAATAATTCAGACAACAGCGAGACTGCAGACATATTCTAAAGAGCTGTTCATACCAGTGGGTTGTGTGACAGTCACAGTTGCATTCAACAAGTGTAAGAAGAAACTGCCTCTCTATATCTTAGAGAATGGGAGGACCTCCACTTTTTGGTAGGGAGTAGATAAGGGCTCTCGGGATGCCTTAAGTGCATAAGTATCCATGTCATGTGTTGAATGAAAATCAGACCAGACTTGACTGGATTAGGGAATTACAGGAAAAGTTTGCACCAGTGTTTGATGGCCAATTAGGGAATGTAAAGGGACAAGAAGCAACACCAACATTTTTTAAAGCAAGAAGTGTGCCTTTTGCTCTAAGGGCTGGAGTGGAGGCAGAATTGAGGAGATTAGAGGAGCTGAATATCATCTCCCGGGTTCACAATAGTGAGTGGGCTTCGCCCATTGTTCCTGTGAGAAAACGAAATGGGGAGATACGGATTTGTGGGGATTTCCGCATGGCTCTTAACACACAGCTTAAAATAGATAAGTATCCCCTTCCTAGGATAGATATTTTTGCATCATTGGAAGGTGGCCAGCAATTCACCAAAATTGACTTGAAAAATGCATACCTACAGTTATCTGTACATCCAGATTCCTGACCACTACTTACGATTAATACCCATTGGGGGCTATTCAGGTATAACCATATGGTTTTTAGCATTTCACTTGCACCAGCTAGCTGTCTGGCAGCTAACAATGGACAAGCTGTTAGCTGGAATTCCTGGGACACAGTGCCTGTTAGATGACATGCTGGTGACGGGTAAATTAGAGGAGGAACATAAACAGAATGTAGAGGCAGTTTTGCAAAGACTTATGGAATATGGATTGAAGGTAAATTTGGATAAATGCCAATTCATGCAGGATCGTTTTGAATTTTGTGCTCATGTAATTGACAAACATGGGCTGCATACAACAGATGAGAAGGTCAAGGCATTACAGGATGCTCCAACTCCCCATAATGTGACACAACTAAAGTCCTATCTTGGTCTGTTAAAATATTACAACCGTTTTTTTGCCAAATTTAGCTCATGTCCTGTACCCTTTACATCGTCTTCTAGAGAGTAAACAACAATGGCGCTGGACAGTAGAATGTGCTTCAGCTTTCCGTAAGTCAAAAGAACTAGTTTTGTAGTTCATGTCTTTTAGTACACTACGACTTTGAAAGGCCTGTTTCCATTGCTTGTGATGCATCACCTTATGGACTGGGAGCAGTCCTGTCTCATTCCATGGCTGATGGGACAGACAGGCCAGTGGCTTTTGCCTCTAGATCGCTCACAGCTGCAGAAAAAAACTATTCTCAAATAGATAAAGAGGCTCTATTGCAATAGTATGGGTAGTAAAGAAATTTATATATATATTCGACCCTTCACTCTGCTTATGGACCATAAACCTTTATTGACAATTTTTAACCCACAGAAAGGTATTTCAATCACAACAGAAGCAAGACTTCAGAGGTATGCCTTAACTCTGGGGGCTTATCAGTATCAGATACAATATCGTCCAAACGCTCTGCATTCTAATGCAGATGCATTCTCTAGACTTCCATTGAAAATGGATTCACAATTAACTACCACAGAAAGATCTACAATATATTTCAGTGAGGTGATAACAGCGAGATAAA